CGGGAAATATTACAAGATACATAGGAGCAACAACAAGAATGCTCGCCTCCCGCCTTGCTGAGCATCAGGATGACGTAGCCAAAGGAAGATGTTCTACTGAGCTCGCTAAAAAAGTTCTCGAGCAAGGCTACAACCCATTATGGCCCAGAACGGAAATAATTAAATGCTGCAACAATCGAAGGCTTGTGTTTATCTGGGAAGCGCTTCTCACGGCTACTTCAGAAGCGTGCAATGTTCCCACCCTCGATCTACCCGGGGTGTGGATTGCCTTATATCGGCGCCTAAAAAGCGAAACGCACCTAACATCGTATCGCCAACGCGGTAGCATTTCCACGCATGCGCCGCAAACATCGTAAAATATAAAAATTCGAACATATCAAAAAATTATTTGCACGTTCTTAACGGAATTTCCGGACGCCTGTTTGAATTTTAAATATTTTGTTCCTTTGGAATATCCTGCACGTTTGTCTTGTTAAAATTTTATTTTTTTCACCTGAAGACGACGATTATACATTCGTCGAAAGTGCTTGTGTTAATACTAAAGAAACTTTATTAACGCTGAACTCAGTGAATTTGTATCCATAAGTTATACAAATATTGGCGTGAGTTTTTAAATTTAAATTTAATTTTTATTTAATTACATAATTTGATCATGGCTTCTTGCACATTTAGAACTACTCAGAGGATAACCTGCCACACAAATTTATCATAACATGCTACTTCTGTTAACATTAAGATATTTTTGTAGCACCCTGTATTTATTAATATAGAGAATACAATTTTCAAGGTTTAGCTTTTTTTTATATTATTGAATTATTTAGACAATTATCTTTTGCTTTAGCTTGTCATTAAAAATTTGAAGAACGAGATATCAAAGAAAATACAAGCACCCAACTGCGATGAGATATTTTATGCTGGGACTGGAATGTTGCTTTTAAGAGATACTGATGGAATGATTTTATTTGACGTACAACAAAACAGGTAATTTTAATATTTTATATAAAATTTCATTTTAAGAGAATTTTTAAGAAAAAATTTTTTATATTTACAGACCATTAGCTTCTGTTAAAGCAAATAAAGTAAAATATGTCATCTGGAGTGCCGATATGAGTCATGTTGCATTCCTAAGCAAGCATACTATTACTATCTGTAATCGACGCATGGACATTCTTTGTAGCATTCAAGAAAATACCAGAGTGAAGAGCGGTGCATGGGATGATAGTGAAGTTTTTATCTACACTACATCCAATCATATCAAATATGCACTTACTAATGGGTAAAATGTTTAAATATTTTAAAAATTTTACAAAAATATATTTGTGACTTATATAAATAAAAATATTCTGTAGAGATCATGGTATAATACGAACATTAGATGTTCCCATTTATGTCACATGGGTTCGAGATACAAATGTGTACTGCTTAGACAGAGAAGCACGTCCAAGAGTTCTGGGCATTGATCCCACTGAATACCGTTTTAAATTAGCTTTGATAAATAAGAAATATGATGAAGTAAGAAATAATTTATTTTTAAAATTATTTATTTGTTGTTGTTGTAGTTGTTAAAATTAGAAATGTTTTTTTAGGTTTTACACATGGTACGCAATGCAAAACTTGTTGGACAATCTATCATTGCTTACTTGCAAAAGAAAGGTTATCCAGAAGTTGCATTACACTTTGTGAAGGATGAAAAGACACGTTTTGCTCTTGCATTAGAATGTGGAAATATTGAGGTAATCATTATTATTTTTTTATTACTTTGTTTTAGATTAAATACAATTATTAAAACCATTTTAAGAATTGTTGCTTTGAAATAAAGGAATCTACAGGTTAGTTTGTCAAAGGAAAAGTCAAAGCTGCTTTGATGATGATAAAAAGTGCATAAAACAAAAGAATAAATAGAATGAAATAAATAAAGATGTACATTACAATATGTAGTAAAACTACCATATCACTCCTAATAAGATATTTGTCTTTCCCACCAGTTGCTGACTGGATAAAACCGCTAGTGGTAATTGGTTTTGGGTGTGCACCTCACCAATAGATTGGCCAGGAGTTTTCTGGGTTTTCTTTGTTTATAACACTTAATAGAGGCCAGTTTCCCATAAAAAGTCTTATCAGGAGGCATCTTCTCTTGGCAGATTGCCCACAAGTGGCATTGCCATATACAGACAACACATTTATATCAAATATTCATATAAATGATAAACTTTGTTATAAAGACAAACTCATAAATCTTGTTACAGTAATTTGTCTGCTAAGTTATTTTTTTAACAAACTTAATTTAAAATTAACACTCAAAGAAAATATAAGTGAAATTAAGCATGAATAAATAAAGAAATAATGTTTGAAATAATAATGCAATTATGAGAAAAAGTCATATATTCTCATGAATTGAATTGTTATGTAGCGCTATAATTTTGAATGAAGTACAATCTAAACTAGTGAACTGGCTAAAACTTGAAAAACTGAATTCGCAAACCTGAAAGTCTGCAAATTCCTGATGTTTTATTCTGATGTTATATGAAACTTTAGCTTAAAAATAGTACATAAATTTTTTGCAGTTTTTGAATTTAGATTTTTTTATATTTTTTTTTTCACTTAAATTATTTTTACAGAATATAAATTATGAATCTTGTATATATGTAAATGTACACATTTTACAATTAATTGGATTTTAGATCCAGTTAGAATTTTTTTAACATATAATGCTGTAAGCCAGGGATCACCAAACTATGGCCCGCAAGGTTGGTTTGTCTGGCCCATTGCCACAATGTACCACAAATGAGCTAAATATAATTATTTATACAGAAATATCATAGATTGTAGATAAACTTACAACGTAAAAACAAATTTAAATAAGTGTAAGTAAAAGTGTCAAAATTGGTCCAATCTGATTTTTGCATTTGACAGTAATATAATTTTTAGGAAAATTGGTGAAATAAAAATTCGGCGACATTTTGTGACTTTGGATATCAGAGTGCGACTATGCAGATGCAAATTTAGTAGTGAGCAATATAGTTCTCACAAAGGAAAACCATGCACAAGTGAGAAGCGAGTAATATTGCTGGCGAGAGTGAATTTCTGGTTCTTGCACATATCTGACAGGCAGTGGCATAGTGTGGGTGTCAGCCGCTCAGGGCGGAGGAAAATTTTGCCATTTCCTTATTTAGGTATCTCAATTTAAAAGACTAAAATTCAGTTTCTTCACAGAATAAGTAATGAAAAATTCCATGCTCATTTCAATTGGTCCAAATCGTAGGTGCAACACACATATTAAATGAAATGGTTCAAATTTTTACAAGATATTATTATTATTTATTGTGAAATTTTGGCCACCCCTGCTGCCCCACTATGCTACGCCACTGCTGACAGGTTTGGTATTTATTTTGTCTCTCCACATATTCTCGCTTGCTCAGAAAATTCACTTGTTCCCATCTTCATAATCGCATCCTCTGAGTGCTTATAAGTATTTGCAATGAAGTTTCTAAAGAAAGTGATTATGAGCTTGCTGCAGTCATCTCTGTCTTTTTTTTTCTTCTTCTTCTTCTTCATTTAGTGTTCTGTATTGAACAAAATGGTTATATGGCCTGCATTTGTCATTCTCTCAGTTGCTGTGAAAAAAGCTTGGTGACCCCCTACTGTAAACATTCAAAACCATTGGCATATTATTGGTGTATTTGCATTAATAATAAAATGTTCAAAATATTATTTATTCAGCTCAGTTTCTAGATTTGAGCAAAATCAATATTATTACAAACGTTTCTGACTTTTTTTTTCTAATGTAAGTAAGTTTGATATGACTAGAATCAGTATTAATCTAACAACACATCTGCTGTTCCCATGCAATGCCTTAGCTGTGTGCTAAAAATTTTTTCTTACATTTTGTTTACTTATTATGTGTGTTTAAAAATGTCAAATAAATTATATAAAATATATTTGTGGAAGTACAATAAACAGCAACTTTGTGTGTCAACTTGTCTCAAGCATTGCAAAAGTTGCAGTGTAGATCACTCTAAGGCATCACTAGCATTTGAACATGTTAATATTATAAAACTTATGTAAAAGCTGCAATTTACATTTGATGAATTCAAATTACTATAGAGCAGTGGTTCTCATGGTTATCAGTCTTTGGACCACTTACATGGAATCACAGTTGAATCATAGACTAATTACACCTATGTCCATTCTTTTCCTGTAAATACTGTCTTAAAGATAATATACTAATAATATAGAATTTAATTATTGCTGGATTTCTGTACTTGATAAAAACTATTTTTAGCTTGAAGAAAACCTCGCATTTTTTGAAAAAATGTGTATTAATATTCAAATGAAAAGCAAAAATAATTTTAGACTTAAAACTTTTGAAGTTTAATTAAAAACTGAGTATTACCTAAACCAGAGATGGCAAACCTATGGCACGCGTGCTCAAAGTGGCACATTGAAGAAATCATCTGGTACGTAACGAATTATATGATTTCGGTTTATCATCTTTTTCAATCATGTTCTTTACATTTACTCTAATTACAGCATATTATTTTATTTATTTAAATATAGTTTTTTAAAACTCTTTTTGCCCTGTGGGTACTAAGAGGGCTTTTTTTATTTATCAAGTCCACAATGGGACAGCTGGGTGGTGAAGAATAGATACCCACCTGAAAATTTTCTGGGGTTTTGATCTTGGGTCTACAAGAGCGATAGCTACCACTTTGTCCACTCAGCCATTTGGCCAAATTTAAATATAGTTACTCAAAGTCTAAAACTTCTGCACGCATAAACATTTTTAAAGAAAAGTATGCTTAATTAATATGCTTACTATGTGGCACACAGACTCAAAAAGGTTTGCTATCCCTGACCTAAATCAGTAGTAGACTTAACAGAATTATATTATAATATGAATTGTAAATATTTTTTACAAATATGTAAATATTTTTTACAAATATGTAACTTTGTTTTTACATAAAGGTTGCATTAGATGCAGCTCGTACTCTGGATGATAAAGCTTGTTGGGAAAAACTTGGAGAAGCAGCACTATTACAAGGCAACCACCAGGTAATGTTCAATTTTTATATATATCTTATTGAAATTATTCTGCTAATAAATGAAACAACAATTATGATGATGATGAATTTACAAGGGTTGTATTCAAATAATTTAGACTAACCTGCACTATATGATTCTTAATGGCAGTGATGACTTCCAGATTATACTTAGCCCATTCTACATATAATCCCTGGAGGCTAGTGCACTGCTGACATCTCTCTGATAATTTCCATATTGCCTCATGAAATCGTTTGGGTATGTCTCATAGCCAGTCCCTGACAGCATGATGTAAGGCTTCACTATCTGGAAATTGGTGACCACACAGGAGATTCTTCATCACGCAGAAGAAGTGCCAGATTGAGGAAATGGGATGGGTATGGGAGCAAGATGAATTCCAGTGACTAGCTCAGCTGCATTCTGTAGGCCAGTGTGTACTTGTCATCCAGTTTAACACAGTTGCACATGAAGGAACACCCCATTACCATGCACTGCCACTAAACGCCTTAGAATATTCACGGCATTCTCACCTTTTTTTGTATGAACCATGTGGTCCAGCTCTGTCCATGGTAATTGTGACTAAATAGTACCCCACCCCCATCATGATCCCATGGCTACATGTTCAAGGTCAGTATTGTGATTACACAAAGTGACAATCTAATGCTACTTACTGGGTTGAAATCATAGCCATAGTCTAAATAATTTGTATATTACCTCATATATATACAGTGTTTCAAAAGTGATTATCTATTTCACAAAGTAATAGAAATTATAAGAAAAACTAGCAGATAAGCCAGGCGTTGCTCGGGCAAAAAGTAATGATAGTGAAGATTATTACATTATAGCCGATCTTACCTGTTTTCACAGAAGGCAAGAATTAGGTCCCCTGTTTCCAGACTAATTAGAAAATTTTTAGATGGGTCTGAAAATATGTTTGATTTCCTGCAAAAATGCAAAAAACCACATCTGCACCTGTAAATCTTGCATGCCGCTTTCTCTTAACACTTTCATTGTTAACACTTCTCCCCACGGGGGGGAATTTTGAAAAATCAGTTCTTAGTGTACATTCTCATGATATACCCTAACTGTGTACCAAGTTTTAACCTTCAACTCCTAACTGTTTGGGCTCTGTGCTTATTATTATTATCAACCCATCTCAATTATATATATAGATTACCTTTCAGACATGAAAGTAAGTATATTTTTAAACAAAATTTATATGGATTTGATTTAATAATTAGTTTCTATATGGTTACCATCAATGTCTCCACATAGCTCAGAGAGATCAGTTGTTTTGTAGAACACAAGTCCAAGCATTTTAGGTGTTAAATGTCTCTAATTTCAACACAATAATTACATTCAAAACCCCTTGTATATAATTAACTACATGCATTGTAATTATTTTTTAATCCTTTTCCCTGATATCATCCAGAATATTTGTATTATCCTCCTTGTTAACCCTGTGAGCATTAAGAGGGTCTTTTTTATATACCTATTTGTGCATTTGTCCAGGTCCACAATAAGGGGCAACTGTGGTGGAAAGGGCAGGGGCCAAATATATTATGCCCAAATTCAGGCATTCAAAATTCTTGGTTGTTTTTAGACTGCCTGGATTTAATTTCAGTTCACTCAAAGCAGTAGGCTCAACTGGCTGAGTTGTCCGGCTGTCCTTTTCCAGTAGTTTGTTATAGTTAGTATATTCACATATCCAATAAATCCATACTTGGTTATTTACTTAATAATGATAGGCATTTAATGACATGAATTCATTTTGCTTCAGCATAGATTTTTATATTTACTTTGTTATAAGATATAGTATAATTATTACTCATTAATTACCTATTATTAGAGTGAAAACACAGCATATGCTGACTACATAACATTATAATAATAGCTATAATTTGTCTTTGTATATTTTAACATAAGCAGTAAGGTCATAGCATCATTTTCCATCCTCTCCTATTCTGGTCAGCCCCATTGCAGGCGAAGCCTCTTGTAATGGATGTACAGTAGTCACCACTGAACTTACACCAGACTGCAGTTAACATGTCATCCAATAAATATGTTTAAAAAAAGTAGCTTTGATTCATTGCATGAATGTTTTACATAATTTAGAACAAATATACAATAACTAGCTGTTACCCACGGCTTTGCCCATGAGGATTTTGCAAGCAAACCCTATTTATATTCAGTATTTCAACAACCATAATAATTGTTATATAACACCTACCACTGAGAATGATGAGAATTGCCAAGAATCAAACGAACTATTTTCAATTTGATCAATTTTCTGGAACGTTTACAATTGTTCTATAATCAAACCAATATGCAATAACAAATTTGAATTTAAAACAGTTCGAACATTTTTAAAATTGAAATAGATAAAAATATTTATAACAATGTCTGAAATGTTATCAATTTAATACACCTAAGTACTCAATGAAGACTAAACGTAGTTGAAAGCAAAAAATTGCATCTAAAATAGTACAGTAGAAGCCATTCTTCCGGTTAATCCTTAATTTCCTCCCTCTCCCCCTACAGGGGAATTTCGAAAAATTCCATCTTAGTGTGCATTCCCATGGCATACCCTACTAAAATGCAGATAAAAACAAAATATTGCATCTAAAATAGTACAGTAGAAGCTGTTCTTCCGGTTAAGCCTTAATCCTCTTCCTCTCCCCTCCGCCTAGGAATTTCGAAAAATCCCTTCTTAGTGCGCATTTTCATGATGTACTCTGTGTACCAAATTTCACCTCTTTAGGTTCAGCAGTTTGCTCTGAGTGATGATGAATCAGTCAGTCAAGACAAGTAATTTTATATATTTAGATTAATCTTTATTTTTGCTAAATATCAACTTGATATCTTGCAAGTTTAACAAGATTGAGCCAGTCAAAGTTGTCACAAGCATCAGAAAACATAGACTGCTGCATCATCCCCGTCAATGAACATAGACCACTGATGTTTAATATTCTGTTGCATCACTTTTGCATCCAAAACACTTTCCATATGTTTCGGCATGCTGTCAACTAGGAGTCCACATTCACGTTATGGAATTTCAGTTAGTTAAGATGGAAGCTTTTATTCCTCCAAGTGTCCGAGGACGTTTTTTGCAGATGTCTCTTCATAATGTTCCATACATTCTCATTTGGTGAAAGATCTGAGCTGTTGGATGGCCAAGAAAGAACTTCTATGTTCTTTTCTGCAAGCTACTGTTTTGTTTTTCTGCTTGTATGACATATGGCCTCATCTTGCTGGAAAATGCAGGTTCTATTTGGATATAGCGTTGCTATGGATGGAAGTAAACACTAGTACTTGTAGAATGTTTATGTATTGCTCTGAAGCAAGTGTTCCATCAACAAATGTCAACTGACCCATACCACTGGCACTCATACATCCCCAAACCATGAAGCTGGCAGAAAACTTCAAACAAAAGTGGCATAGAATTTCATGCCACTTTTGTTGAGACCAGGAAAGATGTTCTTTGGCTCATTGTACCTGTTTCTTCTTTTGATGTGCTGTTAGCAAATGCATTTCCAGTTCTAAGCTGCTGCTTAGAACTGGACATGCATTTCTTGCAGTTTACAGCATGTTGTTGATACAGATACATTCTTTCCAGTTGTATCATTCCATGTTATAGTTACATTCAATACCTGTGGCACAGTGGTTGTTTTTACAATTCTTTTAAAACTCCTATCATCAACTTTTGAAGATTTTTGCTGATGTCCACAGCTTTGTTAGATATAACATGGCCATAGTTAGTATAATAAACAATAATCTGGTGCACTGTTGTCTTGCTTAGCATTAGCTCTCTCAGACATGACATGACTTTGTTTAGCAATGAAAGCATTTCTTAAATCTTCTGAAACAGCTTTTCCACTGGTCATTGTAGACAAAATGCAATGGTTCGTAAATAAAACTAAAAAAGTACCTTATATCATTCACAGGATTACTGAACACTAAAGTGAGGCTAAAATAATCAGTTGTTTCAGAAATACCGCAATTGTAACATTATTTAAATACAAATTATTGTCTGGTCTGTTCATTGACATGGGTGATGCAGCAATCTATTTTTTTTTTATGCCTATGACTCAAGTTTGACTGGTTCAATCTTGTTAAACCTGCAAGATATCAAGTTGATATTTAACAAAAATAAAGCTTAATTACTGTATATTTGTTCTAAATTATGTAAAACATTCATGCAATGAATCAAAGCTACTTTTTTAAACCTGTTTATTGAATGACATGAATTACTATATATAATAAAAAATAATTTTAGTGATTAATTGTTTTGCTTGTTAAATTTTTTTCAGGTAGTTGAAATGGCATATCAGCGTACAAAAAATTTTGATAAACTGTCATTTCTCTATTTAATTACTGGAAATTTGGAAAAGTTGAGGAAGATGATGAAAATTGCCGAAATTAGAAAAGATACCAGCGGACAGTTTCAAAATGCTCTGTTTCTTGGTGATGTGGTTGAAAGATTAAAAATTCTTAAGGTATGCTTTTATGCTATTCTGTATGTTTTAGCATATATCAAACATTTTAAATAAATAAAATACTTTCTTACTGGAACTACACTATAAATAAAATCAAAACCTTTAAACAATCCAAGAAAAGAATTGCTTTACATAAGCACTCGGTAAATAAAAACATAGACTCTACGGTGCTTGCTGCCTTTGCCAAGCAACAGAATATCGAGGTCTTTTGGAATCGGGTGTCGATCATTAAAGCTACAAGATCCAGGCAGGCCATAAAACATCTGGAAAAACTAGAAATTTACAAGGCACAGTTGCACACAAACTGTATTAATTATAGGGATGCTGACGGATTGTCATCGGCATGCAAATCCTTCTACGATGAGTTGACGTAGTTTATGTAAGCGGGAAGAATAATTAAGATAATTTTTACTGAATGTATATATTTTATTTTGTTTCGATTTAATTAACTTGTATAATTTTTGCAATTATTTAAACTTGGTAAATGTTAACGTACATTTATGTAATCGCTTTTTGAATTTTGTTTTACGTAATTTCAAATTCTTCATTCGATTCAAAATGATAACTGAGGATGATCGTTTAAAGCACTCGAAAGCGTTTTTAAGATATTAAAAAAAACGATTTGCTGAATTGTTTAAAGGTTTTGATTTTATTCAAACATTTTACATGTATTTATTTAATTTGTTTGTTTTCAGAATTGTGGACAGACATCAGTGGCTTATCTAAGTGCAGTAACCCATGGTTTACATGAAGAGGCAGAAGCACTAAAAGCCAATTTAGAATCTAATAATTTACAGCTTCCACAACCTGATCCAAATGCAGTATTACTACAACCACCTTGTCCAATAATGCAATGTGAAGAAAATTGGCCCTTGTTAAGTGTCTCTAAAGGATTCTTTGAAGGAGCCATTTCTACACGCAAGACTGCACTAGCAGCTGAGTTGACAGATGACGGACTTCAAGAAGGTAAGCTTTTCTAGTGACTGTAAATAATTTAGACTGGGATAGCCATAATTTTAAAACTGTTCCATATGTAATAGATTGGGGAGCTGATACTGAGTTATTGATTGATGAAGAAGGTGGAGGAGAACCAGCTTTAGAAGATCTCAATATTGATAAAGATGATGCTGGTGGATGGGAAGTGGAGGATGATTTAGAACTGCCTGCTGAATTGGAACCTGTTGCAGCAGCTGCTGGAGAAGATGGCTATTTTGTACCTCCAACTCATGGGGTTTCTCCTTCTCAGTTATGGGTAAATAATTCTAAATTGGTGGTTGATCATGTTCTCGCAGGATCTTTTGAGACAGCATTTCGCTTATTACATGATCAAGTTGGAGCTGTAAATTTTGCTCCTTTGAAACCACTTTTCCTTCTAACTTTTACCAGAGCACGAGCTGCATATCAAGCTTTACCTTATATTCCCACTCTGCATACGTATCCTCAACGTAACTGGAAAGAAGGTAGTGGTAAAAATTCAGCACCAGCCATAGGATGCAAACTGAGTGATCTGATTCAACGTCTTCAGACTTGCTATCAGCTAACAACTTCTGGAAAATTTCAGGAAGCCATAGATCGATTTAGAACTCTCTTGTTAAATGTTTTATTGCTGGTTGTAGAAACAAAACAAGAGATAACTGAAGCACAACAACTACTAGAAATCTGTCAAGAGTACATATTGGGACTTGCACTAGAGTTAGAACGTAAAGGCCTTCCCAAAGAAACCTTGGAACAACAAAAGCGAACATGTGAAATGGCAGCATACTTCACACACTGTAACCTGCAACCCATTCATCAAATTCTTACACTCAGAACAGCATTAAATTTGTTTTTCAAGTTGAAAAATTATAAAACAGCAGCATCTTTTGCCAGAAGGTTATTAGAATTGGGTCCAAGACAAGAGGTTGCAGCACAAACAAGAAAAATCCTGCAGGTGTGTGACAAAACACCAACTGATTTGCACCAGTTACAGTACGACGAGCATAACCCTTTCTCTCTCTGTGGGCAAACCTACAAACCAATCTACAGAGGAAAACCTGAAGTAAAATGTCCACTCTGTCAGACAAGCTACTTTCCTGAATTTAAAGGTAGCATATGTAGGATCTGCAACGTGGCAGAAATTGGCAAAGATACTTTAGGATTACGGATCAGTCCTTTGCAATTCAGATAATTTTTTCGTTTGTTCATATTTTCTTTCTCGATTTGTGATAAAATCTGAAAATATTATCATCTTATAATGTATTTTCATATAATAATGGAACAAGTTGGTTATTTATGATTTATCAAAAATTTTTATAGATGTATATGAAAGGTTTTTGTTCATTAAGAAATATAAAATATTTATGCATTGAAATTGAAAATTAGAATTACAGAAATCTTTTATGGCTATTATTAAATATTTCAATATAAATTTACTTGTAAAATAAGTAATTAAAATTAATTATTAATTACACAGTAGTTTTTAAACTTGAACTCTTTTGTTAAAGAAATGACATATCATTCTTATTTTAGAATAAGAATAATTATAGAAACTATCTTTATATCATTATTCAGTTTTGTTCTCAGATGACATTAATTCTTATCTGTTTTTCATGATACATCAGTTACTCTTACTTGACATCTTTATATTTCAGAATACTTAGAATAAATCCAAATCTTAACCACAATATGTAAGGTGTTCCTCTCAAATGTCTTAGTTTTGTGTAGTAATTTTGACAAAAATGTGAATATAGTACTGAAGATAATGGTAATAGAAAGTGCATCTGAAAAAGTTAATTACTAGATTAAATCAGTACATTTCCACATGTGCTTCTGATGTGAGAAGTACATACTGTGTTTTTTTTTTTNGAGTTGGTTCAATATTAAAAACATTAAACTAGACCAGTGTTTTTCAACCTTCTTGAATACGCGACCCCTTTACAAGTTGAAAAAATTCTGGCGACCCCCAGGACCATATTAAAAACTATATCAGTGATTTTAAAAATTAATTGATTTTAAAAATTGATTACGTATTTAAGTTTCTTTCTGTTGAGACCTAAATATCGATCGAAAAACCAATTGTACTTTAATCCTGGATCGTACAGAACGGCAAGCTAACGCCTTAACCGCCTCGGCCGGCTGTAAATAATATTTAAGTGGTCCAAAAATATAATATCGGCAGAGGCACATCGATCCTCTAAGAAAGTCAATTATGATATTATTGATTTGGATAAAGAAACATTTTATAAATCAATTTTGAAAAAATTATTGGCAAATTTTTTATAGTGTATGGCTATAACAGTAGATGAAGGGACACTGGGATCACGCGATCGCTACAGTGTATAGAAGAAAATTGCCATTATAAATTGTTAATGCATGTAAGAAAAATTGCAAGTGTGTCTAACATGACTACAGTACACATAATTTTTACACGTTGCGGACATCATGGATTCTTTTGATAAGAATATTAAATAAGATCCCACTTTTATGACGGATATTTTGGTTTTTATTCACAGTTTTAACCTCAATTCTTAGTTACTTAATTTTACATAAATACTTTATAAAATTGATTTAACAAATCAAGTTGTTGTAAACACTTTTAAGAAATATAAAAGGATTTATTGATGAAGATTATTGTAAAAAATAATAATAAATGTGATTAATTATAAAAATGTTTAAATATTTAAGCACAACGATTTTCGAATATCAGAATTTAAAACCTGAGGAAGGCAGTCGAAAACGTTTGTTGTTTTCATTAAATATATTTTTACTGGTCAAGTAAAGGTTTTTATGTGTGTTTATATGAAGACTTCCACCTCTTTCCTGAACAGAAAAAGTGATTAGGAAAGCAGAGGTTCCAGACTAATGACAATCTTCAAAACAACATTAGGGCTCATCTGAAATCATTGGTGGCAACATTCTATAAAGAGGGGATGGAAAAGCTCTTTCACAGGTATGACAAATGCCGCAATCTTTAGGATGATTGTCGAAAAGTAACCATGTTTGTACCTAACTTTTGGTAATAAATTCATTTTGTTATTTACACTTGTCTTTTTTTTATTGACTATCAGAGGTTGAAAACTGCCCTTGTACATTAATGTAGTCAGTCTGTTGAGAGTTATGCTGTTTATGACATCTACAATTGTAAACGGGCTTTCATGTCTGGCACTTATGTAGCATACACATGATCCTTGATATGCTCACAAAGAAAATGTTCAGAGAGATGTCATGTGATTGGGTGGACCAAGAAATGTAACCCTCAGTGATCTAGTGAGGCAGTGGAGATCCAAATTGCCTTTTTGAGCATACGCATGTGAAACTTGGAGTATTGACCGACATTTTATTCACTTGTCTGAACAAATATGTTTTATAGAACCATTTAAAACTACGGACAACTAAGAGGAACACTATGTAATCAGGAATTCAGACTGTTCACTTATATATTTTGTTCATAAACATTTTAGTTGATTTTGTATATGAACTTATTTGGTTAAACTGCATTTTGTGTTAGTAAAACAAATTAAAATGAAGTTAATGGTATATAAAATACAAATACATAAACTACATGAGTATGAAAGACCTCACAGCCAATTTATACATCATAAAAAATGTCTGACACTTTGATCTTTTAAATTATAACATTAAACTAACTGCCAAATTCAGGAAACTAAAGCTGTTATTTAATCAGTATGATTAAATTTTGATGATCTCTGCTTACAAATACAAAATGCCATAAATGAGTTTAGAATATAGTCTAATTTAGAACAAAATACAAAAACTAATAAGCACTGCTGATGCTGATTTATCTCACAATTTTGTATTAATTTATATTGGAAAATTAAGAAAGTTCATCTTAATTTAAAATGACTCATTCCAGTATATTTTGGTTAAGATCTTTCGTTTATTTTTAGTTTAAAAGTTTTTTTTATCAGATTGTTCAGCAATCATCACAAAATGCTATTTCAAAATTGATTCTATAATAACAATTTGTTATAAATTAAGGATGCCTAATAATTTAAAAAGAAATTAACACGTAAATAACTGTTTCAGAATAAGTTCAATGAACAATATAATTTTTCATTGGAAAAATTAAATGTTTTTTTATTTAATTTTAGCATTTAAGAATTGAGAGCTAGATAAAAATATTCACAAAGCTACACTATAAAGAATATATAGATTAGTTCTCATCTTTTGTTACCCGAAAGTAATTTGCTATCATATATACTATAAATTAGTATCCTGTATGTATATACAGTGTGTATCAGAATGACGTTTTAAAAATTTGGGGATTGTAGAGGATGAAATTTTGAACGTTTTGATACCTGTATATGTATAGGATGTGGCACAAATCTGGAATCACTAGTGTTATATTCATCTGTTATTTGTTTATTCATGGTTCTGGGTAAGGAGGAATAAATGCAAGTTATTTTGATGGTAGAAACTTGTCAACATGAAGAGTTAACAGGTTGCATCTAGGCTTCTCACTAACTGCACTTCGTAGCCTGAAATTTTGGCAACTTCACACTGATTGCAAATTCCACCATCAAAATTAATTGAATTCGTTCCTCCTTACTCTACATCAGTGTTTCTCAACGGGGGCGATATCGCCCATGTGGGCGTTATTCCATGTTGAGGGGGCGATTAGTAAGAATTTATATTTTGGGGGGCGAAAAACAATTTTCTGGGCGATATAGTAAAACATTATATTAAGAATAATTAGATATTTTATTTCGTTATATCGTACAATAATTAAACAAATAACATTATACTAGTCACTGGTTTATTCGATGCAGTACAAATTTGGCGTTAGCCTTGGCTTTCGGCATCGGAATTTTGAAGTGAAGGGTGCGATACTACAAACTGTTTTATTGAAGGGGGCGACGATTCGTTAGAGTTGAGAAACTGCTCTACATCATGCTTTACTTGTGAAAGAATGAACAAAGATGAACATAACTTCTATAGCTCCACATTTATGGGGCATTGTGTATTCAATATTAACATTAAATAAACTTAATATTTTTCATATTTCTGTTCCATAATGAAATCTTTATAAGATAGCTGAAGAGTTGGTTCAATATTAAAAACATTAAACTAGACCAGTGTTTTTCAACCTTCTTGAATACGCGACCCCTTTACAAGTTGAAAAAATTCTGGCGACCCCCAGGACCATATTAAAAACTATATCAGTGATTTTAAAAATTAATTGATTTTAAAAATTGATTATGTATTTAAGTTTCTTTCTGTTGAGACCTAAATATCGATCGAAAAACCAATTGTACTTTAATCCTGGATCGTACAGAACGGCAAGCTAACGCCTTAACCGCCTCGGCCGGCTGTAAATAATATTTAAGTGGTCCAAAAATATAATATCGGCAGAGGCACATCGATCCTCTAAGAAAGTCAATTATGATATTATTGATTTGGATAAAGAAACATTTTATAAATCAATTTTGAAAAAATTATTGGCAAATTTTTTATAGTGTATGGCTATAACAGTAGATGAAGGGACACTGGGATCACGCGATCGCTACAGTGTATAGAAGAAAATTGCCATTATAAATTGTTAATGCATGTAAGAAAAATTGCAAGTGTGTCTAACATGACTACAGTACACATAATTTTTACACGTTGCGGACATCATGGATTCTTTTGATAAGAATATTAAATAAGATCCCACTTTTATGACGGATATTTTGGTTTTTATTCACAGTTTTAACCTCAATTCTTAGTTACTTAATTTTACATAAATACTTTATAAAATTGATTTAACAAATCAAGTTGTTGTAAACACTTTTAAGAAATATAAAAGGATTTATTGATGAAGATTATTGTAAAAAATAATAATAAATGTGATTAATTATAAAAATGTTTAAATATATTTTAAAATATCCTTTTTCATCATTTAAAAAGTTTTTTAAAAATTGTTTACATAATTTCCAATTAATTATCTTCAAACTAATGGTGATGAGTCAATTATAATTAAATTAATTCTAAAATTACTTATTTAAAATTGAAAAATTTCCATACTTTCAAGATGGTTTGAGTGATAACGTGCTAATTTCTGTTTTGATAGAAAAAATAATAATAAAAAAAAGAAAGTTAAAAATTAAACCAAAAATCTCGAGTTGCGTGGCTCATAATTTGAAAATAAGAGAAATTTTCTAGAAGCAACTGTATCATAAACGATTTTGGATTTCTTCAATAAATTCTATCGACTGATTCTATATATATATATATATATATGTACTTTTAATTTCATCAATATTATCCATTTTTGGAAAGAATTTAACGATAAATTATTTCGTATGTTGCTTAGAAAATTGATCCTAAAAATACATTTCACTCGAGCAATATGGATCACCGCCATCAACAATTTAATGCTATTCGTTTAACTTGTAAGACATAATGCTATTTATAGATCGCGGTCTATAGGTTGAAGAATATGAAATTTTTGGAGACTAGATATTTTTATATTAAAATAAGAGATTCGTAACCATTTTTCTTCCTTTTTTTTTTTTTTGTTTAAAACAGTTTAAAATCCGCTTTTATGACAATGTACTCTGTTTAATGCTAGTATTTTAGGGACGCTTTTAAAAATCTTTTCACCGTATGGATATTAAGAGGATGTTTTAAATAGTTCATACAAGAGTGCTAACGCTAGAATTACTCTGTATTGAGAGTCGTTACTTCCAGAATGGCTTGAGGGTAACTAGTATCTGAAGCGTTTTCGCCTCATGCTACTTGTAATCATCAAGCCGGCACTGTGTAAGGACATGTCCTTACGCAAAGGAATGGTTATATTTATGTGAGAGTGAGTTCATTGTAAGGACATCGCTTAAAAATGGTTAACAACATTGATCATTCATACATTGAAACTCATTTTGTGTGGTTCTAGTCCGTTTTCTACGGGCTACGAGAACTCAAATTGCAACCACCACCATACAAATATGTTCAAACATATATTGTTTTTCCTGGCAACTATTATGCATCCTGTGCAATTATTAGTCAGAGATTACGATAGAAAAGTATTATACAACCTAACTGATAAGGCCCTAGCAGATGGCTGTGAAGAAACAGGAAAGTCTAGTTCAGTGTTTTTCAACCTGTGGGTCGCAAAGCCTCACACGGAGGGTCGCGNAATTGACTTTCTTAGAGGATCGATGTGCCTCTGCCGATATTATATTTTTGGACCACTTAAATATTATTTACAGCCGGCCGAGGCGGTTAAGGCGTCAGCTTGCCGTTCTGTACGATCCAGGATTAAATCCGGGCGGTCGAAAAGTTTCAAGAATTTTTCGGGGGTTATGCTTGTCTCAACCTCTCTCTACACGGCTGTTTCATTGTGGTCCTGATGAGTCTGAAAAGAGATCTTAATATCCACAGAGCTGAAAAAGTGTTTAATAGTAAATTAATTAATTTTTGCGCTATTGAGATGATAAATAGTGCATTTTATACGCTAGAACGATGACAGTATGGTAATTTTTTTTCATTTTTAACTCTTGGCACTAAGAAGGCATTGTAAACATAACCATTATGGGTTTGGCTACACCCACAATAGAGGCATTATAATGGTGAAGTACAGGGGAAGACCGCTTATGGAAAATTCTTGGGGTTTTTAGACAGATTCGATCCTGGATTTCCCAGAGCGATAGGTTAATGTCATACAGGGTAAAATAAGTACTAAGTCAATGGTAAATGATACCATTTACCATTGACTTAGCATTTATATTACGGAAGCTCTACATAACAATAAACATTATCAAACAATGGCATAAATTTAAAAAAAAACTGATATTGTATAATTTTGAATAAATTTTCAAACTTTTAATTATCGAGTTTGTATTGTGTTATTAATACTTTACATAAAATATCGATAATAAATTGAAGCCTTGTATTGTCAAAGAAACTATAAAAGTGAATGTAAGTATTCAATACATTCGAGTATTGTAAGTTAATCTTCGTCATTGCTGACGTAACACACACTTCAATGATAAACTTTTCAAATTAAATATATTGCAAAACAAAAGTAACCTTATTAATGATCAAAAATTGATCATTATTCAAAATAATAATAAATGACTAAATAATTATCATTTTAATGAAATTTTACCATCGATAAATTATTTTTAAAATTAATTTTTATCGAAATTTTAAAACAAGTCTGTATAATATTTAAAATATGTAATTATTTAATTATAAAATTAGAATATTTTTAAAAATATATTTTAAAGACAAATACAATATATATTAAAATAAATAAATAAAAGCGACCTTTACAATTTTATAAATAGTTATTTTCATAATTTATAACGGAAAAATATTTTAAAAATAAAATAAAATAAAATTATTTTAATTACTCGTTAAATTTTTATTTGTAGACATTTGAATAATTATTTTAACAATATTTTATAATTTTGCGGTAATTTAGTTAAATTAAAATTAGAAGTTAAAATATATAAATAAAATTATAAAGAGTTTATTTTAAAAATATATCTATAATCAATACGTATATAATAACGTTTATAATCTAAAAAAAACTTTTAACATAGACTCGTCGAAATTAAAATATTATTATCGTTTACAAAATAATTATATTAACAAATATTAATGGAAATTTATAATAAATTTAAAATTTTTAAAAATCTTTGATTCCGTAATTATATTAACTACTAAAAATGAGAAATTTAAAATAAATTGCAGTTATTTTTAATTTTAATCTTCATTTAAAAAATAATTATTTAATTTAATATTTTTTTGAACGACAATTATTCAAAACAAAATTACAGAAATTACAAAAAAAAAAATCTTAATTGAATAAAACTAATTAAGCATTTTAAAATAAAATAAAAAGTAAAACCGTTTATAATATATAAAATGATAATTTTTAACGTTAAAGAGATTCCGTACGGAAACGATAAATTTAATAAACGCAGCAGACGATGTTGATACGAAAATGCGGGATTAACGTTTTTCAAGATGTCGGTCGTCTGGTCTGTAGCGGTTAGTGTAGTTTCCCATCCGGCGAAATCTGTAAGGACGATAAGTTCGTCGATTATTTAGTCGTAAATGTTAAAATTTCGCTCATGTATACACATTTGAAGCCGGCGGATATATTACGATGGCCTGGGAATGTTTATTTCGTAAGTTATTGGCGTTGAAGTTGCAATGAATGGATCAGTTGTTCGGCAGACGTTTCGAATTGCTCGCATCAACCTATAACAACCAATAACAGATTCCCCTTTCATTTTATGGAAACTTTTATTAATAAGCTTAGGAATGTAAATTACCGATCATACGGTATTTACATTCGTGTGAATTAGCTAGGAAGATGGAATAGTTTCCGTTTTAAAAAGAAATGCAGACTTGACGTTTACTTCCGGTTAGGAAAGAATTCGTTGCCGTTATCTTTTTAAATTACTGACATGCAATTTGAAGAAAAGGCATATCCCGTGGATGATAAAGAAGAGAAGAACGAGAGGAAGGAAGAATCGGTTTCTCCATCTTCTACTCCCGATCTATCGTCGTCTGGAGAACATAAAAAATATCAAAGGCCGAAGTCTGTCTCTTTCCATAGTGCATCTAGTCTACCAGCTGAAAGGAAAATATCCAGTGGTAAGTCTTTAACGCGCACAGTCTTCATTCATATTATGTGCAGTTGTTGAGACGAATTAATCTTCGACTTTGGGATGATAAATTACAGGATGCATTATGGCTCAGTATAAACAGGATAATGATACAGTTCTTAACATATATCATCACATGTTTCTGCTGATGTGATTGTTTATACTGCTGGAAACTTGATGTGGTTTTATCATACATTAACAATTTAAAACATTGCTATCAGAGGAGGAGTGAAGATACATAAATAAACCAAAAATCCGGCACGAAAGCTTAATGTGAAAACCACATTTTTGGTAGTTTTGAATCAATTCTTGATGACAATGTACCATGGTCTTAATAGACTCTGGTCGGTAACCATTGTATGGAAGATACGACATGGCTGCGGCCCATGGATAGACGACATACAATGGTCTTGATAAACTTCGGTTACTGACCAAAGTTTATTAAGATTGTCGTACATCGTTACTGCAGTTGGATGAATTCCGAATGCGACGATGGTAGGCTGTTTTGGATTGTCGACTGTCATTGGGTTACATAGAATAATTTGAAAGTTGAGTGCTAAATTTAGTGGGTTTTAAAGAATGTATTTCCTCCAATAAAACCTGTATCAACAAATGCTTCTTGTGTGATGTGTTACTGAGGAAAAAAGCCAATAGCTTTTAATTCTTTAAAATCCACAATGAAACTAGTAATGGAAAATTTAGCTAAACGTAGTGTTTGTTTGCTTTATGTAACCTGATGATGGTTGTTGAAAATTACTGAAAATGTGGTTTTTTGTTAAACTCTGTGCCAGATTTTTTGTTTGTGTGTTTAAAATATTACATATAAAATGTAGCTATGATGCATTATGTCAATATCATTGCAATTTTTATTAATTTGCTTTTAAAATGGGAAAAATAAGCAGAATAAATTATTATAGTTAATCTTCTTGCTAAATAAAATTAAATATGACGATAGATTATTTCTGTGAGATTAAAATTTAAATCTTATCTAGAGCTTGTGGAGAATAATCGAATAATTATGCTATTTGGTAATGGATTTGAATAAAAAAGTACTCTTGTGAATCTATTGCCTTTCAACACCTCAAAACTGTAAATTAATCATTAATTTCATCATAATTATAATTAAGGTGAACTCTTAAAAGGCTTTTTTTTTTGGTTGGTAATTTTAAATAATTAAATACTTGAAATTTAATTTATTAATTTCCTGTTCTTAATTATAAATTTTTTTTACCTTTATGGTAATTTATGGTAGTGAGAATGGTAGAGAAACATCTTGCCAAAGTGTTCTTATGAATTTATTGCCAATTTAAACATAAGTAATAGTTGCATTTAGATTTCATAATACTTTAAAAGGAGTTTTTAATGTTGCAATAGATTTCAAGAATTGCATTATAAATGTGACAGAAAGGATACTTGATAAAAATGCAAAACTTTGAGGTGATTATTTGCAAACTAGGATTGCATTTCTTGTCTTTAAAGTAGAATGGATATATAAGTAAAAAAAAAGAAATGAGATGAGTTATGCAAAAATTATTGATTCCTTATTATATTTCTGTTAGAACAATGATTAAAATTTTATCTTTTTCTATATCGAGACCAAAATGTTGAAAAGAAAAAGGACTTAAAACTTTAATTTCATCTTTTAAAATCTGAATTGGTTTTGTTACTTTGCATGATTTAATTTTAAAGTAGGTTAACTTTTATTCTTTGTTCTTTTTTTTTTTCTCCCCGAAGTAATTACATTTCTATACTTCTTGTCTGTGTGTAACTTTAGCCAAGAAAAAAAATTTTATGTAAAAATGGCAGGCATTATATTATTATTACATTTTTTACCTAATTTATTATTATTTTTTTTTTAAGTCTTGAGTGCATTAGCAAATTTTATAAACAGGATCAAAATTAATATTTTTTGTTACATTTTTATTTAAAATATTTTTAATATTATTTAGAAATTTGATTTACTCATACTTTATATCTATTTGTATAATTTACAGTTTAAAAAAAAACTATTTTTATATAAATATTTAAATAAAAATAAAGATGATGATACATAAGAGAAAAATAAACATTATAAATTGCTGCATTTTGATGATAAGTCTTGCAAGAAGTTAATAATAATTTCAGTTTTTCACTATATTGTATTGAATAAAAAATATATATATATACTATAATATATTGCATAATGAAAAAATGTCAATTTTTAAATTTTAGTATAAATTTAATTAATTATACTTTAATTAGGCCAGACAAAACACACACATTCAGTTTTCATTGTCTTGTTGGATTATAAATGTTGTTGTTCTTGATAAAATGCTGTCTTTTTTTAATTATTTGCTGAAAGAATTGTATTTGTTGGTACTATGAAGTAGACTAATTTACAAGATTCGGTTTTAACTTATTAGGTTTCTTAGATAATAAAATTATTTTCAAGATTTAGTTGTCTATGAAGCCTCATAAAGTTCAGAATAATCTTTATTAGAATTTAAATTATTTTAAACTTTATTCTCTATTTTTGTAATAAAATGTCAAATAGTCAGTCTTTGTATAACTCAAAATTATTTGAAAAACAAAATTTTAGCTATGAGAATAAATTTAAAAGAAATCCTGAAAGCATTTACTGTACTTAAATATCTTTTTCTCTCTATGTATGATTGATCAAGCATGTAATATACCGTGTCTTAACTGTAAATAGTCCATGAGCTGTTATGAATTACTCTATATTATTTTATTTTGTTTTTAAACGTAAATTAAAAATAAATACATTTAAAAATAAAGTGGGTTTATTTATACTTATAAACAGACGATTAGTTACTATTAGTGGTAAAATGATATTTATTTTAAACATTTTTATTTTCATTATTGTTAGATGTTATCGAAAAGTCATTAGTACTTTGCATAATTGGCAAGCCATTACATGGCAAATGTTATATTAATTAATATATAGAGTTTAAGAGTTTAAATTTTATTCATAGGTCAATAATCTCAAGTTATATTGATTTTGAAACAATGATTCTTGTTAAAATCATTGATGGTTGCAATAATATAATATTTTATTATTTTATGCAAAGATCACTTTTTATTTCAAAACACTAAAAATAAATGTATAAAACATTTATTTTTAGTAATAACTAATTTTGTATTATTTATACATAATGCATAATTTAATAATATATATAAAGTGGGGTTATTTATAGTGATATCAATTATAATAATTAAATTTTTTTGCATCTCTATTGTTTCTATGGCTCTAAGGTTCTTATTTGTAATATAAAAAAAAGGACCTTTTTAAGGAAATATTTTTAAATGATTAAAAATTTATAATAAAATTATAGAATTTATAATAGAAATTTAAATCTTTCACAAACTTTATAAAATAGTTTATTCTCTGCAATCATGAAAATTACCTTTATATTTATAATGTGATAAGTATAGAAACCACTGCAGATATTTTAATGGAACTTTTTTTTACGAGTAAATCAACTTTTTTCAGAATTCTTAATAACTATTTTCTTTAATATATAATAAATACCATTTTTATAAATTTTGCTTTTATAAAAACAAAAAAGTTGAAAATTTTATAATTTGAACATTAGTTAAATAAAAAAATAATTGAATTCAATATAAATTTTAAGTTTAAAAATAACTCCTTACAATAAAGAAGTCTTCTGAAAACAATATGATAAGCATTTTCGAGACCAAATTTCATGTTCAGATCATTTGTTGAAGAGAACGGCTTTTTAAAAACTGTTCTGCAACAAACTTATTGTCAAGAGTATTTTTAAACTATTAGGTGAAACTATTGTAAGGAGTATTTTTACTTCTTTATTGTAAGGAGTATTTTTAAACCTGAATTTATCCTAAGGAGCCCTGCAGAAGATGTCACAACTCAATATAAAACAAAATGTTTACAAAATTTAGAAATTTGTTGAGTAAAAGACTTTATAAGTAAAATTTAATAAAAGTTAATATATATATTTTATAGAATTTTCTGGATTATTATACAATGTTGTTTGTGTAACAAGAGATTTTATTTAGAAGAGGAATTATTTTAATCAATTTTTTTATTTGAAATTTTTTATTGGTGTGTTAAGTTGATTATATTGTTTTTGTTTTTAAGTTTTACTTAAATGTTGATTCATATTTTATCTTATCAGTCATTTTTTAGCATAAACAAAGCCATTTATGACATTAAATTTATTGCTTTTTTGAAATTTTTGCATTTTTCTTTATGACATTTATAATATAAATAAATAAAATTACAAATTCAAATAAATATTTTAATATATTGTAAATTACTGCTGGCCTGTACAGTAAATATAAAGAAAAAAAAAAGTTTTTATCTGTTGAATATTAATTTCTTCTCATTTAAAACTTCTGGTCTACATCTTTAATTTTATCATTTTGAAAGATCTTCACATTTGTATTTATTATACACATTTTGCTTTTAATAAGTGATTTGTATAAAATGAATATGAATTATTAATGTATTGAATGAATTTTCTAGGTCAGATAGTTTGTTATTCAATGTATAAAAGTATCAGTTATCAGTTTTGATAATTTCATATTTTTCAATTAAAAACAGATTTGATAAAATTATCTTTTACTTTTGCTTACCAAGCAATTATAATATATTTAATATGAGGGCTATTTTCAATACTAACTTTTTAATTTAGTTTGCCCCATAAAAAAATTATAATTTCATTTACTAGGTGGCATTCCTTGCTTGCATTGTTTACTTGTCACAAGGGCTCAAAAATTTTGTGACAGTTCATTGATTCTTGGTGCCATCATTTCTATTTTCCCCATGACACAAAAAGTTTTAAGTCAAGTAATTCGTATATGTAGAGTAGGTTATTAGCATCATATTTGTTATATGATTTTAATATCTTTGTTTTGTAATACTAATATTAATCATTTCATTGTTTTATTGTTCATTCATTATAAAATATTTAATGTAAATATTACTTTACACAAATATTTTAAATATAT